TTAAATGATTTCTTTAACACTTAAGAAAAATTTGTAATATTATCAAAAAATATATATAAGACATGTATTACCTGAATTACTTCAGAATTAAGAGCTTTACATGATCATTCATTACTGCAGAGTGTCACTCTAGACCCTTGTCTTGTGTGAACAAATCTTGCCACTTTCCTCAAAACTGGATTTTTTTACATGTTTAGGCATATATGGATACATTTTTTTGCATAAAATAATCTGTAAAACATGTCAAAACATATTTTCTACCTCAACTCACCATAAGCATTAATATCTACACTTATGAGTTGTTATCTCACTTTGAGATAATTATGATACTAGTATGGCTGGCAAGTACTGTGCACTACTGTATAAATAATGTATGTTGAAATTTCTAATAATTTTTATACATATCAGTAATTATAACTGAACACAGTAATTACCTAAGTATAGTTAGAGGATGAGAGATATGCTCGTAATGTCCCATCTTCCCAGCACTCTTGTCATATAACGCTTTGAAATTAATTGTGGTTTTAGCCTCCACCACCTTCTCACTTAACTTGTTCCAACCATCTACCATGCTCTGTGTGAATGTGAATTTTCTTATTTTTTTACAGCTTTGTTTATTTAAATCTTTCTTTATGCAATTTCTAATAATTGTTTATATTCATAATTGTTTCTTAAAACAGTAAATCTTTTTTTATAATTATGATAATTTTTAAATTATAAATGTCACAAATATATTCAGAAGTGCATATTTGTGTGGCACGCTTACCATGACCGATCCTGCCTCTATGCCAGATAAACATACTCTCTGTTAACCAGAGCCAGGGCTTGTGTGTTCTCTGGCCGTGGATTGACTACCATGAGTACAGTAATGTTACAGGTGAGAATTCAGATCTCTGTTAGAGACATAAATTAAAGCAATTAAAATAAAAAATTTCTGTTAAAGAGTTGGCACTTTATCTAGCTCTTCCGTACAGCATGGGTGAAAACGTTTTGATTTGTTTACAGCATATTAATTTATTTCATTTCCTTGGTACTTGTTGCAAAATACTTTCAAAATATAAATTTTAGGTGCCTAAACCTATAGCCAATAATACTTGTGAGGTATATGAAAGAAGTACATTTAAACAAAATTCTTGCATTGGCAAGCTATTGGTAAACTGCTACCAAAATTTCATTATGCAGTCTAATACCGTAATTTATTTTCATATTATAAAATCTCGAAGATAATTTTGTCTATGGAAATGACATAATGGCCACATATGTGGCCACCTGTGATGTTTTTGTGAATAAAACTGAATGTTCAGAGTTTAATTTCAGGACAAAACGAATTAGTAATCGATCTATATACGTATATACAGTACCTGTATATTGCATCAGGGAGACGAGTTCCTCTCATATTTGGATCAACAGAGCTATACGTATCAGTAAAAAGATACATAGATTTCTTATGGTTTTCCATTGTTGAGTACAGGAAGCCTGTTTGGATTATTGAGGTACTGCCTCCCCAGAGTGGAACCCGCAACAGTTGCCCAAACATCTCGCCATGTGGGAACAGAATGTGGAACGTCTTTTGTTGTGAACTGACTGCACTGACTACTGCATATGTAGGAGCATGCCTGTATTTATGTGAAGGCTACTGTATTTTGGCCCTTGGTACAGGAAGCTTGTGGTATGTGAAATGTTCCCCTATTTATCCTAAAGCGTTGCCTCTCGTATGTAATGTCAGACCATGTTAATTAGTCACGATTTGTATTATCTAACTTTTTGTATATTTCAAATATTTCTCTCAGATATTTATGATAATTAAGATGTTATCAACTTATTCTGAAAGTCTAGGATTTGCCCTCATGATGTAGTGAGCTGGTTCCAGTGAGGTTTCCATGCTTGAGTACAGTACAGTATATGAAAAAGATAGGGGCATACATGGGTCATGTAAAATAAGTGTTTGTGTGTGTGTGTGTGTGTGTGTGTGTGTGTGTGTGTGTGTGTGTGTGTGTGTGTGTGTGTGTGTGTGTGTGTGTGTGTGTGTGTGTGTGTGTGTGTTTACTCGCCTAGTTGTGGTTGCGGGGGTTGAGTTTTGGCTCTTTGGTCCCGCCTCTCAACTGTCAGTCAACAGGTGTACAGGTTCCTAAGCCTATTGGGCTCTTTCATATTTACATTAAAAACTGTATGGAGTCTGCCTCCACCACATCACTTCCCAATGCATTCAATTTATAACTACTCTGACATTAAGAAATGTATTATTTCTAATGTCTTTATGACTCATTTGGGGACTCAATTTCCACCTGTGTCCCCTAGTGTGTGTGCCCCTTGTGTTAACTAAACTGTCTTTGTCTACCCTGTCAATTCCTTTGAGAATCTTGAATGTGGTGATCATGTCCCTCTAACTCTTCTGTCTTCCGGCAACATGAGGTTTAATTCCCGTAGTCTCTCCTCATAGCTCATGCCCCTCAGTTCGGGCACTAGTCTGGTGGCAAATCTCTGAGCCTTCTCCAATTTAGTTTTATGCTTGACGAGATATGAACTCCATGCTGAAGCTACATACTTTAGGATTAGTCTGACATATGTGGTATACATGATTCTGAATGATTTCTTACACAAGTTTCTAAAGACCATTCTTATGTTGGCCAACCTGGCATATGCTGCTGAGGTTACCCTCTTGATGTGGTCTTTGGGGGACAGGTCTGGCATGATATCAACCCCCAGGTCTCTGATTCTAGAAGAATTTCATTTCATAAATGATACCTTGTATCTGGCCTTCTGCTCCCTACATCTACCTTCATTACACTACATTTGCTCAGGTTAAAAAACATTGGCCCCACACACACATACACACACACACACATTTTTGTGTGTGTGTACTCACCTAATTGTGCTTGTAGGGGTTGAGCTCTGGCTCTTTGGTCCTGCCTCTCAACTGTCAATCAACTGTTGTACAGATTCCTGAGCCTACTGGGCTCTGTCATATCTACATTTCAAACTGTGTATGGAATCAGCCTCCACCACATCACTGCCTAATTCATTCCATCTATTAACTACTCTGACACTGAAAAAATTCTTTCTAATGTCCCTGTGGCTCATTTGGGTATTCAGTTTCCACCTGTGTCCCCTTGTTTGCATACCACCCGTGTTAAACAGTTTATCTTTATCTACCTTGTCAATTCCTCTGAGAATTTTGTAGGTAGTGATCATGTCTCCCCTTACTCTTCTGTCTTCTAGTGTTGTGAGGTGCATTTCTCACAGCCTTTCTTCGTAACTCATGCCTCTTAGTTCTGGGACTAGCCTAGTGGCAAATCTCTGAACTTTTTCAATCTTCACTTTGTGCTTGACAAGGTATGGGCTCCATGCTGGGGCCGCATACTCCAGGATTGGTCTTACATATGTGGTATACAAGGTTCTGAATGATTCCTTACACAGGTTCCTGAAGGCAGTTCTGATGTTAGCCAGCCTCGCATATGCCGCAGATGTTATTCTTTTGATGTGGGCATCAGGAGACAGGATTAGTGTGATATCAACTCCTAGATCCTTCTCTCTGCCTCTGTCTGTGTGTGCGTGCATGCGTGTGTGTGTGTGTGTGTGCGTGTGTGTGTGTGTGTGTGTGTGTGTGTGTGTGTGTGTGTGTGTGTGTGTGTGTGTGTGTGTGTGTGTGTGTGTGTGTGTGTGTGTGTGTGTGTGTGTACGTACTTACCTAGCTGTGCCTGTCTATGCATATGTACCCTTGAAACTAAATTTCATTTTACGGTGCAATATACGGACAAAATTAATGAGACAGTTTAACAATTAAGTCATTATGTGTAGAAATAAATCTTCTTTTATGCTAAAAAACTATAACTGCAGGAAGCTAACCAGAATCAAATGTATTTTGTTCATATATTTATCAAAGATACTTTTCAACACATATAGAAACATTTGACAATTCATTAAGCAAAGAACATTGGATATTTCAAATTAAACAAAGCAACTGTCGGTAGTAATCAAACACTTGCTATGACAACACAGTTAACTCCAACATGTAGTATATGTATAATAGCAGCTTACAAATATGGGCTCCATTACATCAATAACAATTCAATCCTCGTATTCAGTGATGGGATGTAATGATCCTAATCCTCCAGAATATGTACTAAAATAAAGTTTACAGAATAGTATTGCAATCCATCACATTCATTATTATACATATGTATACATATATGTAGAGGATCAATAGACATTATACTATGCAAGTTGCCTAGACTCAAACTTATCTTATCCTTCTAGATAATCAATGAAGATCACATTGTACTCTTACAATGATGGTTAAACTAGCCTTGTCCTTCCAGATGATCAATGAACATTACACTGTACTCGTGACATAAACTTACCTTATCCTTCCAGATGATCAATGAACATTATGCACCTAGGCTCATCTCATCATCCTGGATGAACGTTACACAGCTCATCTATTTTGTTCACCTTATGATTTCCCATTGTCAGGCACAGGAACCCTATTTGGATGATCGAGGTTCCCTTTAATAAGTCAACTACTGACCTTCCCCAGTGGAAGCAGAAGCAAATGGGCAGAGTTTCTTTCACACTGATGCCCCTGCTCACCTAGCAGTAAACAGGTACCTGGGAGTTAGACAGCTGCTACGGGCTGCTTCCTGGGGATGTGTAACAAAAAGGAGGCCTGGTTAAGGACCGGGCCGTGGAGACGCTAAGCCCCGAAATCATCTCAAGATAACCTTCCCAGGATGCAACCCACAACAGTTGTCTAACTCCAGGGTACCTATTTACTGCTAGGTGAACAGAGAAATCAGACAAAAGGAAACATGCCCAACCGTCTCTGTCCTGCCTGGGGGAACAAAACCAGAATCTTCAGTTGTGAATTGAGGATGTAGACTTCTGTGCTACAGGACCCCAGGAAGTTTAAAACATGGTGAGTGTATCACTCTTGATGAACATGACAGACATTCTAAGCAGCTTATTCACACTTATGAGTTGTGTGGAGTAAAAGACTTTCCTTATTACAACACAGCAATAATTTACTGGACAAAATTGTACTCTGAACAAATATTAATTGTATTTTTGAAATATAAGGAACAAAATTACCATACGAGATTCTAAACTTAAGGTCAAAGTGCAATTCTTTACATGCAAACATAATTGGACAAAATATATATATTTAATGTAAAAATATATAGAAACTATGATATAAAGTCATAGAAAGTTTTAGTTTGTGAAAGAACTTCAAATATGTTCTTTCCTCATAGGAAATATTATTCTTGTGGTTTAAGATTTTGTACACCTAGCGAAACTTTGTTCTGATTTCTTTATCAAAACTGCATTATGAACATAATTTTAATGTATTAAGTTACTGTGGTAAAGGTGCTTCTACATTTAATGTTCAGGATCTGAAGCAACACCAAACAACTAACACTAGCTTATTAGTGCAGAGATTTGGAAATCCTGTACTGGTTTCTCAATTGTTCTCTCCTATACATTCATTCAGTTCTAAACGCTCATAATATAGTTTTATATTTCTTAAGAAGCACCAGAGATGAATTTCAGCTCCATGCACCAGTGTCTCTGACTCCACTTAAAAGGCTTAAAACATTACAATAAATACTTGTTTCTATCTAAACAACATCAAAACAATATTGATTAAATCTCCTCAGAATTAGTTTGCTCATATAAAGCTTTATGCAAGAATTTATAATAATACAACAGAACCATAAGGATTTGTTGCTACATTTTCCTCCCACACTCTTACATTTCAATGTTGTTAGTGAGAAACTTTGTGTATTGAAAGCATCACTGTGTCCTTAAAAGTATTTTAGACATTAAAAGATGGCTTTATTCTTAAGTTTAAATTACAATAAAACAAGACAGATTTAATTCTCAATGTTTAGTATCAATATCATTACCTGACTTCATCTAAAGAGTACTGGTGACATTTAATTTGATATATGTCACAGTGTCACATTACCAGTAAGTGGATCACTGTACAGTATTCCTCGTCTCTAGGTAACACACTGACACTTTACATAAACAGTTATACTTTGTAATGCTGCATCTCAAATTATCAAGTCAGTCCTCGATATTAAAATCCTTAATGCATTGAACATAAAAATTGATACTGTATTTGTTTTCCTTACAAACGATCTAATTAATACAAAAATATTTGTCAAGGTGTTGTGGAGGTAAAAGATCTCACTAACCCATGCTTCATTCCCATGTTACATTTCACATTTAAGCAACATCATTCAATTTCTGTTGTTCAACTTCTTGAGTAGAAGGTTTTGGCTTGGCCCATTCTTGCTGCTCACCAGATCCAAAGATGGAGTAAAATAGAGCTTCTACACTGAAAATTCCCAGAGTTATGAAGAAGATTGTACGCCAAGCCTCGACAGTTTGCTGAAATATATAGAATAAATTATGTACCCTGTACAGTACAGCATATTAGAAATAGACAAAAAAATTATATGATAACCTTTAATAAAATATAGTACATAAAAAATTATATATAGTGTATCCTCACTTAAATTAACTTTATGCAGTGAGGCCGATTCATTCCATAAGGGATTTCATTCAACCCGTCAGACCCCAGGCAACCCCTTTTCCCTGGCAAAAACCAGTATCTCTATCTCCATATATTATGTATTATATTATATTATATTATATTATATTATATTATATTATATTATATTACACACACACACATATATACAGTATATACAGTATATATATATATATATATATATATATATATATATATATATATATATATATATATATATATATATATATATATATATATATATATATATATATATATATATATATATATATATATATATATATATATATATATATATATATATATATATATATATATATATATATATATATATATATATATATATATATATATATATATATATATATATATATATATATATATATATATATATATATATATATATATATATATATATATATATATATATATATGTATGTATGTATGTGTGTGTGAGATAGATATATATATCTATCTCACACACACACACACACACATACATACATACATTGTACATCCAGTACCTTCCTCCTTTGAGAAAGAGTGATCATGTCCTGTTGGACATTAAATATGCTTTGCGATATAATCTAGAAGAGAACAGGGACATTAAAACAGTTGATAAACGCAATTTCAAGAGAGGACACTATGGGGAACTTAAACAAAAAATTTCATGAGTTTAATTGGACAGACTTGTTGCTAGGCAAGGAAGTAAATGAGATGTACTGTATGCCAAATTTCACAAAATATACAATGAAGGCACACAAACATTTTTACCAAAACAGAGATGCAGAACCAGAAAACAGGATTGGTTCAACAGAAATTGTGAGAGGGTCAAAGAGGAAAAGACAAGAAAATTGGTTCAATATAGGAAGCGGCCACAAACATACCAGCACTACAAGCAAGCAAGAAACAATTACACAACAGAGGTAGAAAGTTACTTTGAGAAAGGTATAGCAGACAAATGTAAAACTGACCCAGGCCTTTTCTATAAATTCATTAAAAGCAAGCTGCATGTAATGGATAAAATCCAGAGATTGAGAATGGGGAACAGGACTACTGAGAGTGGAAAAGATGTGTGAAATGCTATATGAACCGTTCCAAAGTGTATTTATACAAAATGAGGATTTCATAGAACTGGACCTAATACCAATTCCAGAGCAAGTCACAGAATACATTGAGGTATCTCAAGATGAAGTGGAAGAATTACTCAAGGGGCTAGGAAGAAATAAAGCAGTTGGACCTAATGGGGTTTCACCTTGGGTGCTGCAAGAATGTGCAACTGATCTGAGCATTCCACTCCAATTAATATTCCAGACATCCTTGTGCACAGGAATCTTAGTAGATATATGGAAAATGGCAAACATAGTACCAATCTATAAAAATGGTAGTCGAGAGGAACCTCCAGATTATAAACCCGTATCATTAACAACCGTGGTAGTCAAAACACTAGCAACAATATTTAAAGCCAAATGGATTGTACACCTAGAGTAATGACATAATAACAGACAAACAGCATGGTTTTCAAAGAGGAAGATCCTGTGTAACAAATCTTCTTAGTCTTTATGATAGAGCCACAGAGAATACAGGAAAGAGATGGTTGGGTTGACTGTCTATTTGAACCTAAAAACGGCTTTTGACAAGAGTCCCACACAAGAGGCTGTTCTGGAAACTGGAACATGCTGGAGGAATGACAGGGAAACTTCTGACATGGATGAAAACCTTTCTAACTGACAGACAGATGAGAGGAGTAATCAGAGATAACATATCCAACTGTAGGAGTGTTACTAGTGTACCACAGGATTCAGTTCTTGCACCAGTAATGTTCGTCGTCTACTAAACGATCTACCAGAAGGAATACAGAATTATTTGAACATGTTTGCGGATGATGCTAAGATACTGGGGAAGATAGGGGGCACAGATAATTGTAATGCCCTTCAAATTGATCTAGATCAAATAAGTGCTTGGAGCATAAAGTGGCAAATGGAATTCAGTGTGGATAAATACCGTATTATGGAATGTGGATTCAGAGAAAATAGACCACACACAACTTATAAATTATGTGGAATGGAATTACAGAACTCTAATAAAGAACGAGACCTAGGGGTGGTTTCAGATAGTAAGCTTTCACCAGAGGAAAATAAAGAACATTGTGAGAAGAGCATATGCATCGCTTTCCAACTGTTCATGACATTTGTGAGACCAAAACTGGAATATGCAGCAGTTGTATGGTGCCCAAATCTCAAGAAGCACATAAAGAAACTGGAAAAGGTGTATCGGCTTATTACAAAATAGCTTCCAGAACTGAAAAACAAGAGTTACGAGGAGAGACTACAGACATTAAAATGCCTAAACTAGAAGATAGAAGAAAAAGAGATGATATAATAAGTAATAAGCACATACAAAATTCTAACAGGAATCAACCAAATTGACAAGGAGGAATTCCTGAAACCAGCAACATCACGAACAAGAGGACAAAGTTTCAAGCTAAGGAAACAGAGGTGCCAAAAAAATATTAGAATGTTTTCTTTTGCAGAGTGACAGAAGGTTGGAACAAGCTAAGTGAGAAGGTGGTGGAGGCCGAAACCGTCAGTACTGTAGTTTCAAAGTATTATATGACAAAGAGTACTGGGAAGATGGGACACCCCGAGCGTAGCTCTCATCCTGTAACTACACTTAGGTCATTACAATTAGGTAATTACACACACACACACACACACACACATATATATACAGTGGTACCTCGCATAACGAATTTAATCCGTTCCATGTTCGTCATGTGAAACGGACGTCATACAAAACGAGTGTCCCCCATATAACCAGTGTGATGCACTGTGTTTATTGTGAAATTCCCCCAGTGTGCATGACATCAAATGTTCCCCAAAATATCATTTTTCTTTGCAAAATGATAAATTACCGTCCCTGAACATGTCTATGTAAAAATAATTACCAAATTCCACTTACTTTGGCTGTGAGGGAGTCGACAAGGTGCGCTGTGACATCATCAGGGCCTGGTCGCCCGTGTGTTAAGCTCCCAGACACGGTCGCGCAGGCCATTCAAGCACCGCGTGTTGCCACAAATATATTTTCAAATATTTTTTCTATGCATTTCCAATGCGGTTTTATTTGTTTCTTTTATCGTATATGATGCATATTTGTGACCTTTACAATATGTATACAGTAGAATGTTCATAATTTTCCATGAAACTGTGATACATGTGTCAGTAATGTGTCCACAATAAATACCTGGTTGATACCTGGTTGATGGGGTTCTGGGAGTAGTTCTACTCCCCAAGCCCAGCCCGAGGCCAGGCTTGACATGCGAGAGTTTGGTCAACTAGCTGTTGCTTGCAGCGGCCCGCAGGCCCACATATCCACCACAGCCTGGTTGGTCCGGCACTCCTTGGAGGAATAAATCTAGTTTCCTCTTGAAAATGTCCACGGTTGTTCCGGCAATATTTCTTATGCTTGCTGGGAGGACGTTGAACAACCACGGACCTCTGATGTTTATACAGTGTTCTCTGATTGTGCCTATGGCACCTCTGCTCTTCATTGGTTCTATTCTACATTTTCTTCCATGTCGTTCACTCCAGTACGTTGTTATTTTACCGTGTAGATTTGGTACTTGGCCCTCCAGTATCTTCCAGGTGTATATTATTTGATATCTCTCTCGTCTTCTTTCTAGTGAGTACATTTGGAGGGCTTTGAGACGATCCCAATAATTTAGATGTTTATTGTCACAATATTACGTGGTAAAAATTCACTAAAATTACAATATGTACAGTTTCACATACTATTTACACAGTAATACACTGTATTACACACTCAGTACTTTGGAGGTGCGTAATAGTCAATGAAGTAGTCCATGGTACACAGCGCGACTTTGCTCTCCTTGCACCAGCTACAGATAGATTTTCGTTTCCTGTTTCATCGTTCTGTGTACTTGCAAATAACGCACTCGCGTGCACCCTTGGCTTTAGTACTTGTAGGTGGTATGTAGCCAAGCTTGTAAAGCATATGGTAGTATTGAAACGATTATAGGAAAAGCTCAATTTGTAAGGTAGTCTTGAAAAGATCGCTTTGTAAGGTCCCACACAGGAAGAGATTCAGCTAGCCTCAAAGAGTGTCCATCAGTCAGGAAGAGATTCAGCTAGCCTCAAAGTGTCCATCAGTCAGGAAGAGATTCAGGTATTCTTGAAAATATCAATGAACAACACCACCATGGAAGCCGCTAACACTGTTCATCTATGCTACTTGTATCAGATGCATCATCACTGAACGCAGAAAACGATTCATCTATGTATCATCTATATAAATTCGAGATGGCAAGGGTGGGGCTCAGAGCTACAACTGGATACGCTCGCTGTATCATCCTCATAGGTGCTGTATCACTGGCATCTGACCATTGTGTTAAGCCCTTATTGCGCCTAGCTTCACCAATGTTATGACCCTTATGTTCTTCAAACAATAGGGTCTGAATTGCACCGACTGAGCGCAGTCTTTCAACACCGTGTCGGACAGGTGTTTGAGAGCCAGAGGCATGTGTGCCACAAATGGTTGCTCACGCAGTACTAACCCAGCCAACCACTTGTCTTTCATATTCGTTATAGCATATTGTTCGTTCAGTGTTTGTTGGGTAGGCTGCTCCATTATGACAATCTTTCTTTGTTTCAAATGTGTTCCATTTGTTTTGTATTTGTCACTTATGTCTCAATAATGGAGCAGCCTACCCGACAAACACTGAACGAACCTTTATGGCATTTGTCCATTTTTCAAATTGTTTCAACAGTTCTTTTATTTTTCGTTTTTTTTTTTATTTAAGAAACATGGAGCAGCCGACCTGTAGACGACCGAACGAACCTTTTTGACATTTGTACTGGTTTTCAAAAATCTTCATTTTTTTTATTATTTACGTTTTTTGTATGTAAGAAACATGGAGCAGCCTACCTGCCGACCACCGAACGAACATTTTGCTATAAGACAAATGAAAAATAAATATTGAACACATTTGAAGAAAGGAAAATATCATAATGGTTTATTCAGTGTATGTAAGGTAGGCTTCTCCATTATTGAGACGTAAATGACAAATACAAAACAAATGGAACACATTTGAAACAAAGAAAGATTGTTATAATGGAGCAGCCTACCTGCCGAAAACCGAATGAACCTTTTTGACATTTGTTGTATATCAGACATTTCATTTCTTTTTTCCTACAAAAACGTCAATGCTTTGCAACATCTCAGCAGTCACCCCATTATATCCCAGTATCATTAGCATCTTTAAACAAGAACAACATAATTTATGTGCATCGTCGGAGGCGTCTAAGAATGTGCAAGAAGCAGCGCGACCCCACCTGGCCCACCATGTGGTGTTGACGTTACTCAAACCAGCGTTCGTCATATGGGACGATTTGATGCCGATCGGGCCGTTCGTTACCCAAAATGTTCGTCTTTTGGGGCGATCGTTATGCGAGGTACCACTGTATATGTTATACAAATCTGTTTACATATTTTAGTAAGTTTAAATTTCATACTCACATTGCCATGAGTCATGTAACCAACAAAGGATGGCACAATAATTCCAGGAAGTGTGGCAAATGTGTTGGTTATTCCCATGAGTGTTCCAGCAAATGGTGGTGCAATATCAATGTGGTTGGAGAGGAAACCGGAATACATTCCTCCAACAAACATTGTTCCTAAGGTAAGTAATGCCACTGCCAAGTCTGTGTTGCATCCCACATAAGTGACACCGATCAAGCAAATGGCAGGAGGCATCGAGGCTGTAACAGAAAATCTGCATATTACTATTCTTAAACACTGAGTACTTTTTACAGATCACAGTAGAGCTAACAGCATTAAAACTGTATGTATCTCATAAATGTATCTCAAAAAATCTTAAATACAACCTATGCAAAAATTTCCATTATGGCTAGATGAGAATTCATACACAGCCAAATATAGGCCCTGTATATTTTTACAATACATAACCAAACAGTATTTCATATAAAATACATTCAAAATTATACAGGGAATATACAAATTAAGAAGTTTCCTCTAAATTACATTGTCCCTTAAGAATATACCCCACATGTTGTCAAACAAAAATCCAGTGATGAATGTAATGAAACATCTCTATGGTGGGCCCAACGAGTCACTAAGGGGGGCCCACTCAGAGAGTCACTAAGGGGGGCCCACTCAGAGAGTCACTAAGTGGGGCCCACTCAGAGTCACTAAGGATGGGGGGGGGGAAGCCTGCTCGGGTAGCCACTGAGGAGGGCCCACTCGGAAAGCCATCAAGGGGGCCCTCCCAGAAAATTTGATAAAGTTGATTAATATAAATTTTATTTTGCAAAGGATATCTTATAAATCCCAAGTGAAGAATAATATAATTAAAACTTTTTTTTGACATGAAAACATACCGACATACTGTATTAGTGAATAAAGTTGCTATGAAGCAATAAAACAGCAAAAGTATAAGTAGATCATCCTACTTGGACTTATTAATTGTGTACAGTGGAATGATATATGTGTGCACCTGCCATTATGCAACAATTCAATTAATTTTAGCACTTTGCCACAGCAATCATATATGATAATATTGTTCATTTTTAAAGTTAGAGCAATCAGTGCAGTCGGCTCTCGACAATATGATCCCGGGTTTGATAAGCATCCAAGGTCGATATATTTGGGCATGTTTCCTTATCCCTAGTGCCTCTGTTCACCTAGCAGGAAGGTGAACAAGAAAGCAACCCAAATGTAGATTGGGGAACAAAAACTAGCCTAACTTCTCACTACTGCTAGCCTAACTCCTCACTGCTGCTAGCCTAACTCCTAGGTCCCAGTAGTATCTGGGAGTTAGGCTGCTGTTGTGGGTAAATATATACTGGGAAAGGTCAATAGCTGTTCTAGGGAGATCTTGGTAAGCCAAACAGGCTTCCTGCTCCTAACAATGACAAACCAAGTGTAGATTAGGGGACAAAAACTAGTCATTAAAATCTACAGTGTAACCATTATTGAAAAAGTTAATACAGGTAAATGGAAATTACCCTGCAAAAAAGTACTTTATACTGTCTCAAATACTACTCATCATCAAATCCCTCTATGTGTTTCTTACCAATAAAAGTAGCAAGCTTGCGAGCAAATGTTGTTGTGATAACCTTCCGTGACCGGAGAGCATCCAGAATATTGGCTAAGAGCATGGTGAAGATCCACATGCACAGGAAAGGAACTGCAGACAACCCAGCATTCTGGTAATATGATATAATTGGGATTCATTAATTGTATCCAAATAAAAATATATACATATATTCATCTCATAAAACATCATAAAACCTGTGGATGACAGTAAAATATATGGAAAGGTGAAAAATTTGCTTATTACAATAAAGACTGGAAATTCCTTGGTGTTCACATTGACAACAAGCTAAATTTCCATTGACATATATAAAACATAACAAAAAGTTTCTAAAGTAGTAGGTAGTTTCTCTAAAATCCAATACTATGTACCCAATTCTGTCTTGCAACATTTTATTATTTGCTCTTCTAGCCATATCTCGCCTACAGTATCTGTACCTGGGGATTTATAACCCAAAATTACATTCGATCCATAATTAAGCAAAAATCAGCAGTCAGAACAATTACAAATTCCAGTCCCAAAAATCACTCAGCACCCTAACTGAAATCTTTGAATATGTTAAATATCACATACACTCAAGTATCAAGTGTACTCTACATTTATAAAAATCTGAATTGTAATACCTTAAACACTTCCTAGATGGCTCCAGATGTGACACATAGTTCCCCCAGTTTGGTGACTTCTTTTGATTTAATTTTTTATTTATTTATATATATATATAGATATACAAGAGTTCTTACATTCTTGTAAAGCCTCTAGCATTTTAGGGGCCTCGTAGCCTGGTGGATAGCGCGCAGGACTCGTAATTCTGTGGCGCGGGTTCGATTCCCGCACGAGGCAGAAACAAATGGGCAAAGTTTCTTTCACCCTGAATGCCCCTGTTACCTAGCAGTAAAATAGGTACCTGGGTGTTAGTCAGCTGTCACGGGCTGCTTCCTGGGGGTGGAGGCTTGGTCGAGGACCGGGCCGCGGGGACACTAAAGCCCCGAAATCATCTCAAGATAACCTCAAGATAAGATAGCATGCATAACATTTCAGACCAGGCCTTAATCTTAATTTTCCCCTAGAATACGACCCATCAAATCATTTAACAAACAGGTACCCATTCACTGATTTGTGAACAGAGGCGTTCAGTTAAGGATTGCCACCTTGTCAATCATCCCCGGCCAGGCTTCGAACCCAGGCCAAATCGCTCGCGAAGCATGGGTCGAGTGTGTTACCACTGTGCCACAGGGACTGCATAATTACTTGCTTATTAGACGGCCGTAACAGAACCCATGGGTACCATAACGAGAAACAAATATCTACTGTATTTGATATTCCAAGATTGCATCTTAACTAAAACAGAAATACATTGCAATATAATGGTCCTAAACTGTGGAATGACTTTTCAAATCAGATTAAAAAAATTCTTCTCTCGACCAGCTTATTTAAATGAGAAACTAAGAAATGTATATTTAACATTATGAAACCATTTTTATTCACACCACTCATCTTTCATGTCAACATATGTTTTGCTGCTACTGTGAACATTAATTACTCTATTTGAACTGTTGTTAAAAACTAGTTTCTAAATATCACTTAAAAACTGTAAATCATTTACTAAATCCCTTATTAATAATTAAAAAATGTGAACTTACTTCTCATTTAGTTTTCACACTTTTGCATTCCAAAAACGCTAAAACATGTCATCCGTACTCCGAGAGTAAACGTTCTGATGACTAAAGTGTGTCATCCAATTGCTATTCATAAACATTTGTATATTCATCAGTCACACATAATCTATTATAAATAAATTTTTGTTTTATTATCTATTCTGTGGAGAATTCAGTTGTGAACATTTTGACTCCAAATTTATAGCAGGCCAAATTTCAGCAGGCCCTGCTGATTGGCCTGCAAGCAGTCCGAGGAACTCCACAATGTTGTTTATGTGGGTTATGGTTGGGAACATGCAGAGGCTAGACTGTCAAAGTGTCAAGTATTACCCCCATTAAACGTGTAAATAAATATCTTAATTAACTTTATGTTATGCATGAAACAGTTTGCATATTAGTGGCTTTATATAAATTTCTAACCTATAAATTCTCCACTGTTTCATGTATCAAATGTATGTACTGCCTCGTATGGGCCAGTAGGCCTGCTGCAGTTCTCATTACTACTATCCCCTACACCTGACTTTCCTCCTCAGCTCTCTCTTGCCTATTTAATGCCTGTCCCTACCTGTCCTCATCACAATCGACTTGAGAATGGTCCAGGACGGACCGAAACGTCGTCGTCCCTTCAATTTCTAGTGTGTGGTCTGGTCAACATACTTCAGCCACGTTATTGTGACTCATCGCCTGCGTATGTACTGTACTTTTATATAAGTAAAATACTACTATTTTAAAAGTAAACTTACAGATGCAATGTCAAACTTAAGGATATAACGCATGTAGGTTGGGAGTTTGACAAGCAGCATGTACCAGCCCCAGTTGTTGCATGTGTGTGCCACAATGATGGCCCATACTGGCAGTGACGTCCACACTTTCTTCCATGGCACTGGTGGTTTCTGCCAATGAAAGGAAACATTTGACGAACTTTAGACAAGAATAATGTGTCATATGTATGACAAAAACAAATACAAAATAATATAAAATTACTAGCATCCCACAATCCAAATTATGTACAGGATAGGTAGAAAGTACCATTGCATATTTTATTTTTTTTTTGCACAGGAAGGTACAGAAGCAGACAGTTTCTAACTCACATCAGCAAACTGAGAGCTCTTCCTTCCCAAAGCTCATTTTAAACTTTACTAGTTTTCTCTGGTACATGAACTTCCAATTGGTTCACAACCAGGTTCCCAATTACTGCTGGGTAAACAGTGGTGAAAAGTTTAGGTTCACTATCCAATTAAGATTCAGTGATTATGAATCCACACACATGTCACTGTGTGTATTCATAATCATGAGAAAGCAAATAAGTTATGAAAATATAAGAGTGCAAATTTTGGTGAGGTTTATTAAGCCTGCTTCCTTACATGAAACACTACAGGCTTGGGGATAAAAGACATTCCCAATGTGAAGTATTCTTGACATAGAACATTGAGGCCATCCAGCATCACACTGGGACCACATGAACATTACTGAAGCATTCCTCAGAACTAAACATTCCCCATTTAACTTGGTGAAAAATTATGACAATGGATTTCGAGTTGAAAGTATTTAAACTTAGGTGCACCAATGAACTCAGTGATAGGAGACTTGGATGCTCATAAAACACTTACAGCAGTTTCCCTACTAATGAATTTAAAGTCTATATTAACAACAAGAACTCCTATTAATATGTGAAAATTTAGCAGCACCCACCTCTAGGGAGCAGTTTCTACAAGTCACATGACAATTCATACATTTGATTATGGAACATGTTAACCACAAGGGATATTTAAACATGAGTTCCACACCTACACAAGAGCATTCTTAAATCAACATGCATCCTGTAACAAGATAAGCAGTGCCAGAACATCATGCTGTCATACATTTTATTATGGAAAATGTTAATCACATGCCATATCTGAACATGATCATTCTACAACTACATAAGGGAATTCCTAAATCAACATGCATACTGTAGAAAGATATGCTGTACCAGAAAATTATGCTGTCATAGTTTCAGAATATCTTAGCCTATTCAGTGGACTATGTATTTCAGAAGAGTTTAATATGGCATGGCTATATTAAAGAGTATGTAATGTCAATCACTTTCAATCACTATTGCTCACTGGGCATGTTTTTTTTTTTTTTTTTTTTTTTTTTTTTTTTTGAGATATATACAAGAGTTGTTACATTCTTGTACAGCCACTAGTACGCGTAGCGTTTCGGGCAAGTCCTTAATCCTACGGTCCCTGGAATACGATCCCCTGCCACGAAGAATCGTTTTTTCATCCAAGTACACATTTTACTGTTGCGTTAAACAGAGGCTACAGTTAAGGAATTGCGCCCAGTAAATCCTCCCCGGCCAGGATACGAACCCATGACAGCGCTCGCGGAACGCCAGGCGAGTGTCTTACCACTACACCACGGAGACTGCAAATTTCAGTTTAGAGACAGTTTATTAGCCTTTGAATGAAAAAAGTATCTTTTATTTATTGCCAGTGTATAAATCATGATGAGAAAGTGGTCTGATTATACACTGCATTTATTGAACTTGTTCAATATCTTAAATGTCACTGAGATCAGTCCTGTCATGTATGGTTATGTAGTTATAAGTCTTGTGAATCTCATGTAATGTAGAAATTGACAGTTCTGGGATAATTTTCATAACTTTGAGCTGAGCATTTTGCTGTGCAATGTCGTTTTGAAGGAAAGGTCTCCATGCTTGAATGCACTAGATAAAGTAAAGATAAACAAAGAATTTCTACAGCTAGATGCAGATGCAAGGGATGTAATTACAAAATAATACATTAACATTCAGACTATGCATATCAATATTTGTATTGCAATGTCCTAATGATTAATGGAGAGATTTTTATTAAAAGCTTCCACTTACTACCAGCTGACTGCTGCTTACAAATAAAGAATACAGCATATGCCTACTTCTAAATTTTCAGGATTTTTATGTTCAATTTCTTTACTAATAGAGACATTTATTAGTTATCCTTTGTCAAGTTTCAACCAATTAAAATTTATTTGTTATAATTATGGATGGACCCCCTTGTAATCCAGAGTATATATCCTGGATACAGCCATAGCATATACCTAGTTTTTAAAACTCATTTCCATCACTGTATAAATGGTCATGCCCCATTAGTGATTAGAGGCCCATGTGAATATACATATGTATGCAAGTTATAAAATTAAAATAGAACTTTGCAGTATTGATCATAAATTAAAGTGTTATATCTGAAACCTTAATATAATTTTTCCCTATTTATTTTTACCTTACCTTTGTCTTTACTACTGTACCAAGGGATTCTTCAATGAACTTTCGCTCATCCTTAGAAATTCTTGGGTGTTGGGCTGGAGAGTCATACACAAAGATACACCAGAGAACATACCTGAAAACACAAGACACATTTCATATTTTTTGTTAAAATTACAGATAGGAATCATAGTGTTTACAAATTATTGTATTAAGGATCTTTACAATAGAAGAGGGGTCAAATCCACGTAGGAGAGAAGCTCATCTGTACATGTGACTACTATATCCTAACATGTAATACAATTCTACAGACCTATATAAAGTTTCAGCATGATGATTTCTTTGACTACCTTAATAGAGATTCATCAAAGAATCAGAGAAATTGCAAAATACCTCCTGCAGGGAATTAATAGATCAATACATTAAAGCATTATAGGTTAACTGAACATGACAGTATCACTGAACTTGTACAAAAATTGCAAAGGAAATGAGGGAAATAGAAAAGAACCAGATGGATAATAAACGGGGCAAACTGTAATGAGCTTTAATATTGTCAGTAAAAAAAACAGCTGATATTGAACGAATTTACATCAGTGAACAAATCCACAAGAGCCGTGACGAGGATTCGAACATACATCCAAGATCATCCCAGACGCTGCCTTAATCGACTGAGCTATGATATGGTCAAAAGAGTTGCGACCAGAAGTTCTACTGCCCTTACTTGGATCCGGCAGCCTCTCAGAGACACAAACCAGGGTTTTACACAAGTGCATCACGTTATTGTGATTTCTGTGTGTAATTTACATCAGTGTTCACATTCAAAAGTCTAGACAACCTCCCATAAACCACACAGATGTTTGTATTAGACAAGGAATGAGTTAAGGTATAGCCTCATAACATGCAAAATAATTAGTAAGAGTATTAACAAATTAAACTGCAAGTATAGATGGAGTTCAATCCAATATCAAAATAATAATGAGGCTTTGCAAAATTATCTACATGAACTCTACAAATGGTGAAAAGATGGGCAAAAATCCATTAATATTGAAAAATACAAGGCCTTACATGTAGGGCATACCAATACATGTTATAATTAAAATAACAACAACATGACTATGCAACAGATTGATAAAGAAAATGACCTAGGAGTTATAATCCATCTATCACTGAAAATTGTTCAGCAAGCAGCTATGCAAGAATGTACCTAACTTATTGCTTTATTCATATTCATTAAATTCCCACTAAACACTGTATTAATATGAATGTATTGTATATACAGACTCAAATTTATACAAAACCCAATGTATTTTCTTTATAAATAAAGCATATCAATATCAAGTAATATAAATATTTTGACATAAATAAGCACTACATGAGATACATCACGAGACAACTCACCACAATATAGAAAGTCCACCTTGCATATAGAATATAGAGCTCCAACCTAGTGTTGCCGCTAGCAGCCCAGAGAAAGGCATGCACACCAAGGTTCCCAATGTCATGCCTGCAATATGAAAAGAAAATCAAAATAACCATAACTGTAACTAGAATTCCTTCAAGTTTAGCTCATTTATTATGTACCCCGTACCCATTCCGTGAGCAGTAGTGGAAAAGGTTACAGAGGCACATATACTGTATAATGGGTTCAGGAACTGAACCCAAAAATTCATTTAGTTGAGCAAGCTGCATCATTGATGAGGTAGTTACAAAAAATGTTAACATCAACAATACAGTTTCATCATAGTTTATGAAACTTACATCACTGTGACCACCAAAGGCACTAACACAGAGTGAGTTTTGTTAGTTGTTTCTTGTTAGTTACATAAAATTTTGATTTACCTATCATGCACCCAGAATTCCTCCAGGGCTGGAAAGGTTATAATCACCTGCATGTACTACATACAGTTAGAAACTGGGAATAATTGCCTAAAATCGATAATTCTGAATGAAATACAATTTTTAACACTTATGATAAAAATTATCTAAATTTTTTTTTTTTTTTTGGCATTCCATCTGTAGTGATGTAAGGTGTGCATATAATTTTGAAGAATCAATTTTCATTCGGTCAGGTCTACATCAGCATGTAATGCAGACTACAGACACACATAACTGAGACTAAGCTGATCAGTAATAACATCTAGGAGTCTAATGATTTTATTGGATAATCCATAGATATGTGGCTCTTCTTGCAAGGTAGCATGATGATGGAAGAGCTGTGGAGATTTTACCTTGTCTCAGATCTACAAGGTTATGTTGAAGTTCTTGCTGTATTATTTTTCTCAGCTTGCTAATTGGTAATTCAAGGTCATATGCAACTCCTTATTTGTAGGCATATTCTATAGCTAACTCATCAGATTGACATAATGCATTTGGAGGCCAATATGAAATGGACTCTGTTACCAGAGTTTGTTAGCAAAATTATTATTATATAGTATTGTAATATTATTATTATTAAACAGTCCAGTCCAGCAACGAGGAGGCTTGGTCAAGGACTGGGCCACGGGAACGCTAAGCCCCGAAATCATCACAAGGTAAGATAAAGTTAAGTAACCATCACTAAATTTATTTTATCTGTGTCTAGCTTCAGACACAAGCACAGAATTGTGCCTTAAAGAGATGAGTGCAATTATTGTGGTTAGCAGTATCAAAGGCCTTACAAAAGTCAACAAATAGACCTGATGGGTATTCATTTTTGTCAGGAGCTGCATGTATAAAGTCCATTATATTTATTAAAGCATCATTTGTGCTTTTTAGGGGTTTGAAGAAATATTGGCAAAGGAATAAGTATACCATGTTTAGCTAGTTAAGAGTAAAGTTTCAGTGAAAAATAAAAATGGGATCAAATTTAAAACTTATAGTATATGTTAGCATTTATAATATCAAATGTTAAATATTTTTTGAAATTGCAACATACTGTACAACACAGTGCTTTCATACAAAAGTCCAACAGCACATTTTTATTCTTAAGTACTGTACAGTACAGTATTATTAAAAATACTTTATGCCCTTACCAGCATATATTGTTGAGGAGATTTTGCTCCGCTCCTGCGGTGGGGCCCAGCCAGCAATCAGTACGTGCATCGCTGGTAGTGTGACACCCTGGTAAAAAGAAGAGCTGGTTGGGTATCATCTGAAGCAGCTATTAGTGGCATTATATAACATACAATTACTGTACCTATTAAGCATCCGCTGTAATATGTTGTTTTGAATATTTAATAAAAATGTTGGCAGAGTGCTGTTAAATGCTGAGAAAATTACCGATGTAGGTAGCAGTACATGTGTGAGAGTTAATACTTTAATAAGTGACTAGTTAGATATTATTGTAGGTCTGGGTTACATAATGTCACCCTGGTTATTCAAAATATACATGGAAAGGATGATGAGGGAGATGAAAATTAATTTTCATTTCGCTTACCCTTAGTAATTTTTCATCTCCCTTAGTAATTTTTCCTTACCTGGTGAAACTCTATAGAGTAAATACTCCATTTGCACACATCTTTCATATGCAAGTTTCAGAATACAGTAGAATATTTATGTACTCACCCCAGCAATGCCCATGATGATCCTCATGACGACGAGCCATATATAAGAGCCACTGGCAGCCACAGGGGTGAGAAGAGCACAAAAAGCATTCACCAGTGCTCCCATACCAAACACATGCTTGGCACTGAACTTCTCAGCCACCCATCCACCAGGCACCTGCAAAATTAGTTTGATTAAAGTACTGATGGAAATAACCAAATGGCCAATGTGAATCCACACAATGGAATATTAGCACTCTCTTCACTTTAGGCCTGTCAGGAATTTAGGCAAATAATAAGCTTTTATTTGTAATGATGTTTACAACCATATATTTAGCACTGAATAGTAATATAATTTACAAAGAAAGTATTATAAATTATAATGGTAATTATACAGTATTCTGTTGTATAGTACAGTACAGTATTGTAAAAATGGTTTAAAAAGCATATATCATTTAAAATAATTGGGACAAAATGGTCATCCATGGCAATTTTATGCCAGTCTGTTAATGCTTTAATTATTTTAGTATCACCTGATTGATTCCTCATACATCTATATACTGGACTGAAAATTCAGTTTATTCTATAAGTACAACCGGGAAGGGTCCCAGTAGTACAGTCGGGTTCGTTCTCAACTCACAATTGAAAATTCCGGGTTTGAATCCTGGGCAGCACAGAAATTGTTGGGCACATTTCCTATCACCTAATGTACCTGTTCACCTAGTAGTAAGTAGTTACTCAGGAGTCAGTCAGCTTGTGGGGTTGCATCCTGGGCGGGGTCAGTAATTCGACCTTAAGGGGGTGGGGGAGGGGGGGGACCTTGATATAAGCCTAATCCTAATGTGTATGAATACACTCTGGCTGCCTGTCCCTGAGACAATGAATTATTACAACAATTATTAATTATTATATGGTTTAAAACTATATACAGTACTGCATACTGTTCCATATTTTTTACATATATCAGTAGATGGCAGACAATAAATTGTAACAACGATCAGGAAACACTTCAAATAGTTCCATAACTGGTGTTGGTGATGTAAGTAATGTACATTAGGAATAATGCAAATTATATACTACTTATTGTTGAGAAAGACACTGGAAATTGTTAGGCCCTGCTTGTTCTGTATTTTATTTTCCATCCACCTCCTTCTCCTCCTGTATCATCATCCTCATACTTATCATCATTATCATCATCATTATTCTCATGGGCCTACCTGAGTGACGAGGTAACCATAGAAGTAGGAGGCTAGAATGAGTCCCTGAATGTTCTCATCCCAGGCAAAGGGGCCATCCTGTAAGGAGAGGAGAAATAAGTTAATATAGCAACACTACAGCCCATCCTCCTGTTTAGATAGTACAGTACTTACAGTAACGATGTGGATCATCATACATGCAGTGATGTAATGGACAATTAAAAAATAGAATTTGATACTACTGCAGGCCAATCTAATCCTCCCGGCCACCACGATGTCGTCAGGGCCGATAAGCAGCCTGGTAACAAGAATACGTCCATGGGGATAGATCACATGTATGAGTACTCTATGCAGTTTGTTATACATAAGAACATAATAAAGGTAACTGCAGAAGGCCTATTGGCACATATGAGGCAGCTCCAATTTATAACCACCCAATCCCGCTCATATACATGACCAACCCACGTTTGAAACAATCAAGGGACCTCACCTCCACCATGTTACGCGGTAATTGGTTCCACGAATCAACAACCCTGTTACCGAACCAGTATTTACCCATGTTCTTCCTAAATCTAAACTTATCCAATTTATACATAGTTTCATGTTCTGTCTTGTGTTGATACTTTTAATACCCTATTAATATCCCCTTTGTTATGTCCATTCATCCACTTGTAAATCTCTATCATGTCACCCCTAACTCTTTGCCTTTCCAGTAAATGCAATTTAAGCTTTGTTAATCTTTCTTCATATGACAGGTTTCTAATTTGAGGGATTAACTTTGTCATCCTACGCTGGACAAGTTCAAGTGAATTTATATCCAATCTACAGTACGGCGACCAAAACCGAACTGCATAATCTAAATAGGGCCTAACTAGAGCAAGATATAGCTGAAGAACAACACCAGATGTCTTGTTACTAACGCTTTGATTAATAAATCCCAGTGTCCTATTTGCCTTATTACGAACATTCATGCATTGATCTTTTGGTTTTAAATTCTTACTAAGCATAACTCCCAGATCCCTTTCGCAATCTCAACACCATCTAGTTCGTATCTTGTAACTTTATCATCATTACCTAGCCTCAAAACCTGACATATGTCAGTATTAAACTGCTTCTGCCAATCTATTTACCATTTAAAACCCCTATTTAGATCTTCTTGAAGTGATAGTGAATCTTTTCCCATGTTTATTTCCCTCCCGATCTGTTATCTGTAATAACAGATCAACAATCGTGCCAACGATCCTGGATTGAGGTGTGAATGACTGGATAGAAATAAGAATAAGAAATACCTTTATGGGAGATGGAATAAGCACGAATGGCCTCCTTAGATCGCAAGTTCATATGAGGTAACACCAACATGAATGGGTACCCAGCATGTCAAAATTAAATCTGTTAAATATGAAAAACGGCACTATTGGATTATGACCACAACAGGATGGGAAGGGTTAAAATACTCCAGAGCCACGAGGGCTCTGAGAGATTTGACCATAATACAGTACAAAGAAACGTTGGCGCATACAAAGTAGCTTATTGAATTAAGTTTAATGCAGATGTATTCATTCAAATACACCCGATTTCTTTTTCAACCCTAAATCCAATGGGTATTTAATGGAGATTCGTTGTCTGTAATATTTATAAGACATCCACGAGCTGCCAAATCGGGTCCGTCTAATTACCACAAGCTACCACAAACTACACAAACTTCAGAAAGCTTCCTGGCAATACGTTAGTAATGAATAAATATGATATATTAAGTTAGGCTGACCTAACCTAACCTAATCTAACCTATCCTAACCTATCCTAACCTAACCTAACCTAACTTAAGGGGGCATATTACGGGTTTCGTAAAAATTGTTCAATTTGTTTATAAATTTATTTATGAAATGGTTATAGAAAGAGCTGCAACTGGTCCAAGTTTCAGCATCACACCCTAAACAGAAAAGGAGAAAAAAAATACACAACGTATTATGCAACGAATTTTCAACATTTTCAAATAATTTCAGGGAACACATGTGTCAACTAAAATCATTTCTATAACACTCAGATATTAAACTAACACATAATAATAGATTGTATTGGTCAGTTTTATCAAAGAAAGTGTTTAGTGCAATAATATAATTTTTCAAAGTTACCCTTCCAAAAATATGCAATATATGATGTTTATAAATTTTTATAAAATCAACAAATGGACTTTGGACTAAAATGTCTCAATAGGTTTGTAGAAGCACAAACTCTACATATAAGGTGTAATTTGCATGTAAATTGATTAATAAATGAAAGCTGAGAAACGCCTTGAAGTTGTAAATTACTTTCCAGAGTAAAATAAAGATCCAAGTTCGGCCACCTGTAGCTGAGCTTGACTTCTACAGATTTCGTTCATAATTGGCACCCTTGCAGATAGGCATCCATTGAGCAAGGTGTGCAAGTTTCATGCAAATCCCTTGATAACAAACGAGAAAAAAAAATTGGCCAAAAAAAAAAAAAAAAAAAAAAAAAAAAAAAAAATTACATATAAATATATTGCACATACATTTTAGACATTTTAGTTGACACATGTGTTTCCTGAGATTATTTGAGAATGTTGAACATTCGTTGCATAATACGTTGTGTATTTTTTTTCTCCTTTTCTGTTTAGGGTGTGATGGTGAAACTTGGACCAGTTGCAGCCCTTTCTATAACCATTTCATAAAAAAATTTATAAGCAAATTGAACAACTTTTAATTTAGTGTGATAAGCCCCCTTAACCAAACCTAACCTAACCTAACCGAAGCTTGGATCGTCGACTTGATTTGGCGTCACCAGCTTTTTATTTTCGTCTAATTTCTTTATAAAAAGATACTTTTTCAGATTAAAATTATGTTTTTTCGTGTTGTACATTCAGCACCAACATTATAATGAGTAAATATATCATATTTATTCATTACTAACGTATTGCCAGGAAGCTTTCTGAAGTTTGTGTAGTTTGTGGTAGCTTGTGGTAATTAGACGGACCGGCCAAATCAAGTCCTTCATTTTAGATATCCGCATAAAAACAATTTAACTTTAGTTTCCAAACAGCTCAATATCTTAGTCTAGAGTTTGCCCCAATACAATGGAACCTATAGACGCCCAGCTGGCTACGTTTAAATTATTGTTGGCAAGAGATCGGCATATATCTTGCTCAGTTAAAAATAAAACTATTTATAGCAGAGGTTGGGTCGCCAATGATGATTTCTGAACACAAAAAAACATCATGCAATGGCATCTTTCGGCCAAGTTAAGGCGCCTTTGAGCCAATGCTGAAACTTTTAATGGTGGAATATCTTTCATCAAATTTAGACTCGCTGAGTATTATATGATGTCAAAAATAACGCCAATTGATATTAGTGATTCTTGCCCGAAACGCTGTGCATTTTAATGGCTTTAGGCATAGTATATACTAGCTCTATCTATTAATCCAACATTCTCCTTGTACCTCATTCTGAATGTATGTACTTTTACCTAAATAAACTATTATTATTATTATTATTATATCAAAAGTACTTAATGGTGTAAGGGGTCGTCCAAGATAATTCATGCGACCTTTGTAACGATAATGATAATGTTTATTCAGGTAAAAGTACATACATTTAAAAATACACGGAGACACCAACCAAATTAGTTTATGTTAGTTATCCTTCAAACTGTCATCTCGTCATCCGAAGTTTATGACATATACTTTGCCAGTGTATGTCTCACCACTGCAATTGTAAACTATAGTACGTATTCTGTATTGATGCGTACTCTAACACTGAATCTGTTGGTTCTGTTCTGGGAGGTGAACATGTGTGTCCTCTCGAGCTCAAGTATTCACCTAGTTGTGATTGCGGGGGTTGAGCTCTGCTCTTTCGGCCCGTCTCTCTACTGTCAGTCAACTGTTTCTAACTACTACTACTATTTTTTTTCAGATCACACACACACAAGCACCCCCCAGGAAGCCACCCGTGACAGCTGACTAACTCCCAGGTACCTATTTACTGCTAAGTGTTTTCCCTTCAGAGTAAAACCATGATAGATGTAAATTGTACGTAGGCACGCTAAGTCCCGAAATCATCTCAAGATATAAGATACGGGCGTTCCTATGTCAGGTTAATGACTTGTGTGGCGTGTCAGTGGGAACAAAAAAATGTAGCAGTAGAGCCGAGCTGGGTGTCAGGGAAATTTTCCCATCACTCCAGCTACAACTAATTATTTAAATTAATCAGACAAATAGTTTCTAAATCTATATTATACAATATATAATTTCAGTGGTTAGGTGTTATGCAATTATTATGACTTACTCTTGTAAGTAATGTACTGTAATTTCATAGATGTACAGTAATTTATGAATAGTTTTTGATTGACTGCCATATCGTATGTTGGAGAGTCAAAATATACAGTACAGTATATTTAGATGGATGCATTATTATAATAATAATCAATTGAATTATTATTATTATAAATAAACAGCATATTAAACCAGATGTATTATTATAAAAATGATCATCTGAATTATTATTATTATTATTACATATACAGAAAGACTTTCATGGCAACATCAGCCACCGATAATGTACGTTAAATTAAGACGCTAATGCAGGCGATGAGTCACAATAACGTGGCTGAAGTATGTTGACCAGACCACACACTAGAAGGTGAAGGGACGACGACGACGTTTCGGTCCGTCCTGGACCATTCTCAGGTCGATTGTGAATGGTCCAGGACGGACCGAAACGTCGTCGTCCCTTCATTTTCTAGTGTGTGGATTGATCAATAAGACGCTAATGTTTCAAGTGAATCCCGCAGCATGAAGCAAGCACGAACGAGAATTTAGCAGAAAAGAGTTAAAACTCCGCTAAGTGGAACTGGGAAGCAGGGTTGTGATGGAGGCACCCGTCATTAGTTCGTATGACGGGCCGCAGCGCCCTCTACATGTCCTCTGCTTGTCTTTCTTCAGCAGGGGTCAGGAGGCTGGTGGTCTTGACAGAAGCTTTGGGTTGGGTGGGGAAGGCGTGGCGGGTAAGGAACGATGGAGGGGTGGCCAGAGGACGGGAAGATGGGTTAAGAGGACACTTTGAAGCAGCTATGCTGGCTATATATAC